TCCTCCCTGTTTAAACTAGGATATTTTGTTCTGTTTTCTATGAAAAGAGGGCAGATTCTGGCCTAGCTCGGCCACTTCTTCCCCACCATTGTTCTTATATGAAAAGGGGGGAGATTCTGGCCTAGCTAGGCTACTTCTTCTCCACCATTGTTCTTATATGAAAAGAGGGGAGATTCTGGCCTAGCTAGGCTACTTCTTCTCCACCATTGTTCTTATATGAAAAAGGGGAGATTCTGGGCCTAGCTTAGGCTACTTCTTCTCCATCATTGTTCTTATATGAAAAGGGGGGAGATTCTGGCCTAGCTAGGCTACTTCTTCTCCACCATTGTTCTTATATATGAAAAGGGGAGATTCTGGCCTAGCTAGGCTACTTCTTCTCCACCATTGTTCTTATATGAAAAGGGGGAGATTCTGGCCTAGCTGGGCTACTTCTTCCATCATTGTTCTTATATGAAAGAGGGCAGATTCTGGCCTGGCTCGGCCACTTCTTCTCCACCATTGTTCTTATATATGAAAAGAGGGAGATTCTGGCCTAGCTAGGCTACTTCTTCTCCACCATTGTTCTTATATGAAAAGGGAGATTCTGGCCTAGCTAGGCTCGTCCTCTCCACCATTGTTCTTATATGAAAAGGGGAGATTCTGGCTAGCTAGGCTACTTCTTCTCCACCATTGTTCTTATATGAAAGGAGGAGATTCTGGCCTAGCTAGGCTACTTCTTCTCCACCATTGTTCTTATATATGAAAGGGGAGATTCTGGCCTAACTAGGCTACTTCTTCTCCATCATTGTTCTTATATGAAAGGGGAGATTCTGGCCTAGCTAGGCTACTTCTTCTCCACCATTGTTCTTATATGAAAAGGGGGGAGATTCTGGCCTAGCTAGGCTACTTCTTCTCCATCATTGTTCTTATATGAAAAGAGGTCTGGCTGGCCTAGCTAGCTACTTCTTCTCCATCATTGTTCTTATATGAAAAGAGGGGAGATTCTGGCCTAGCTGGGCTACTTCTTCTCCATCATTGTTCTTATATGAAAAGAGGGCAGATTCTGGCCTAGCTCGGCCACTTCTTCTCCACCATTGTTCTTATATGAAAAGAGGGGAGATTCTGGCCTAGCTAGGCTACTTCTTCTCCACCATTGTTCTTATATGAAAAGGGGAGATTCTTGGCCTAAGCTAGGCTCGTCTTCTCCACCATTGTTCTTATATGAAAAGGGGGGAGATTCTGGCCTAGCTAGGCTACTTCTTCTCCACCATTGTTCTTATATGAAAAGAGGGGAGATTCTGGCCTAGCTAGGCTACTTCTTCTCCACCATTGTTCTTATATGAAAAGGGGGGAGATTCTGGCCTAGCTAGGCTACTTCTTCTCCATCATTGTTCTTATATGAAAAGGGGGGAGATTCTGGCCTAGCTAGGCTACTTCTTCTCCACCATTGTTCTTATATGAAAAGAGGGGAGATTCTGGCCTAGCTAGGCTACTTCTTCTCCACCATTGTTCTTATATGAAAAGGGGGGAGATTCTGGCCTAGCTAGGCTACTTCTTCTCCATCATTGTTCTTATATGAAAAGAGGGAGATTCTGGCCTAGCTCTCGGCTACTTCTTCTCCATCATTGTTCTTATATGAAAAGGGGGGAGATTCTGGCCTAGCTAGGCTACTTCTTCTCCACCATTGTTCTTATATGAAAAGGGGAGATTCTGGCCTAGCTAGGCTACTTCTTCTCCATCATTGTTCTTATATGAAAAGAGGGAGATTCTGGCCTAGCTTTCGGCTACTTCTTCTCTCCATCATTGTTCTTATATGAAAAGAGGGGAGATTCTGGCCTAGCTAGGCTACTTCTTCTCCACCATTGTTCTTATATGAAAAGGGGGGAGATTCTGGCCTAGCTAGGCTACTTCTTCTCCATCATTGTTCTTATATGAAAAGAGGGGAGATTCTGGCCTAGCTAGGCTACTTCTTCTCCACCATTGTTCTTATATGAAAAGAGGGGAGATTCTGGCCTAGCTAGGCTACTTCTTCTCCACCATTGTTCTTATATGAAAAGGGGAGATTCTGGCCTAGCTAGGCTACTTCTCCATCATTGTTCTTATATGAAAAGAGGGAGATTCTGGCCTAGCCTCAGTACTTCTTCTCCATCATTGTTCTTATATGAAAGGGGAGATTCTGGCCTAGCTAGGCTACTTCTTCTCCACCATTGTTCTTATATGAAAAGGGGGGAGATTCTGGCCTAGCTAGGCTACTTCTTCTCCATCATTGTTCTTATATGAAAGAGGAGATTCTGGCCTAGCTAGGCTACTTCTTCTCCACCATTGTTCTTATATATGAAAAGGAGATTCTGGCCTAGCTAGGCTACTTCTTCTCCACCATTGTTCTTATATGAAGGGGAGATTCTGGCCTAGCTGGGCTACTTCTTCTCCACCATTGTTCTTATATGAAAAGGGGAGATTCTGGCCTAGCTAGGCTACTTCTTCTCCATCATTGTTCTTATATGAAAGAGGGAGATTTCTGGCCTAGCTAGGCTACTTCTTCTCCACCATTGTTCTTATATGAAAAGGGGAGATTCTGGCCTAGCTAGGCTACTTCTTCTCCATCATTGTTCTTATATGAAAAGAGGGAGATTCTGGCTCAAGCTAGAGCTGCTTTCTTCTCCACCATTGTTCTTATATGAAAAGGGGATTCTGGCCTAGCTAGGCTACTTCTTCTCCATCATTGTTCTTATATGAAAAGAGGGGAGATTCTGGCCTAGCTAGGCTACTTCTTCTCCACCATTGTTCTTGCTATGAAAGGGGAGATTCTGGCCTAGCTAGGCTACTTCTTCTCCATCATTGTTCTTATATGAAAGAGGGGGAGATTCTGGCCTAGCTAGGCTACTTCTTCTCCACCATTGTTCTTATATGAAAAGGGGAGATTCTGGCCTAGCTAGGCTACTTCTTCTCCACCATTGTTCTTATATATGAAGAGGAGATTCTGGCCTAGCTAGGCCTACTTCTCCACCATTGTTCTTATATGAAAGGGGAGATTCTGGCCTAGCTAGGCTACTTCTTCTCCATCATTGTTCTTATATGAAAAGAGGGAGATTCTGGCCTAGCTAGGCTACTTCTCTCCACCATTGTTCTTATATGAAAAGGGGAGATTCTGCAGCCTAGCTAGGCTACTTCTTCTCCACCATTGTTCTTATATGAAAAGAGGGAGATTCTGGCCTAGCTAGGCTACTTCTCCTCCACCATTGTTCTTATATGAAGGGGAGATTCTGGCCTAGCTAGGCTACTTCTTCTCCATCATTGTTCTTATATGAAAGAGGGAGATTCTGGCCTAGCTAGGCTACTTCTTCTCCACCATTGTTCTTATATGAAGGGGAGATTCTGGCCTTCAGCTAGGCTACTTCTTCTCCATCATTGTTCTTATATGAAAGAGGGAGATTCTGGCCTAGCTAGGCTACTTCTTCTCCACCATTGTTCTTATATGAAAAGGGAGATTCTGGCCTAGCTAGGCTACTTCTTCTCCACCATTGTTCTTATATGAAAGAGGGAGATTCTGGCCTAGCTAGGCTACTTCTTCTCCACCATTGTTCTTATATGAAAGGGGAGATTCTGCCTAGCTAGGCTACTACTTCTCCATCATTGTTCTTATATGAAAAGAGGGGAGATTCTGGCCTAGCTAGGCTACTTCTTCTCCACCATTGTTCTTATATGAAAAGGGGAGATTCTGGCCTAGCTAGGCTACTTCTTCTCCATCATTGTTCTTATATGAAAAGGGGAGATTCTGGCCTAGCTAGGCTACTTCTTCCCCACCATTGTTCTTATATGAAAAGGGGGGAGATTCTGGCCTAGCTCGGCCACTTCTTCCCCACCCCATCCAATGCCAAAGTTTCCCCGAGGAAGGTTCGGCCAGGGGAAAGTTTGGCCTGTTACAACTGTACATAAATAATCCTGAACACAACACTGAGCCCAACATGCCTCCTAGCCCAGAAATACAAGAAGAACAGATATTTTACGCATGTTTCAAACAATATTGCCAAACAGGGTTTCCACCTCCAAACTGACTTATCATTGATATAGTGAGTGAATATAGTTTTACGTCACCTTAAGCAATATTACAGCAGGGGACACCAGAAATGGGCTATTATTGATATATCTGAGGTGACAGACCAAACTGACACACTCCTGTCACTGTGCTCCTACAATGTTTGATGGCATATCAGAAAGTTTGTACTTGTTCCCATGGAAACACTGACATCTCCTGAGCCTGTTTCACCTACAGTGCACTTTGAGTTCATGTGACACCTAACCGATATTGTGAGACAGTACTTTACTATACCAGTATCCACTGCAGTACAGAAAGTCTGGGATTAGTTACATGGTAAAAGGATCAAATAAAACAAATTCATAACCCCGTAAGAAAGAGAATGGTCACATGCTAAAGCTGTTAGCTGAGTTATTTGTGCAAAAGAAAAAAATTGGTTATTTGTGTTGAATGTGTGAGTCAAATTATTTACCCTGCAAAAGAAAATCAGTCTCTTTCAAAATTCAACACAACCATATGCCAACAGTAAGGTTAACCTTGACTAAACGTCTTGTGCATGAAGAACGAGAAACAGGTGGGTAGTTCAGGGTAAGAATCTTGGCAGATAGAACACAACAGAGACTTGATGAGGCAAACCAGTGGTTCCCATGGTAACCCCTTCAACAGGTTATAATAATGAATACACATTGCCTTTAAGAAAGTTGTTAAATATTACCTGTCACAATTGGCATAACACATTTGCAAATTCGCGGATCAACTTCAACTCCCCAAAGTACCAGAATCTCTACTTTACTGAGGAAGATTCAGAACCTTAAAAGGGGGACAAGCGTTGGGGTACTTGGGACATATGTTGCCTCAGAATTTGAAGGAGCACAAAAAGGGGTATTAAGGACCTACAATACCTTGGAATCTTGAAAGAGTTTGGATACTGGGGACCAATTCAGAGTCGGATTCCTCACCATATCAACTCACAACAACTACTTACTGCTTTGGAGCTGTCAGCTGCTAGGCGGGCAGCGTATCGGGCGATCAGTCGATGTTCGTCGTCTATCCGAAATGAGTCTGTACTTGCATTGTGTTTACTGGGGCTGAAGAATAAACCAGACACTAGTAAAAGCAACAGAATGACAGCATCTGATCAATGTTTGATCCATTAACTGGTTTTCAAAAGTAGGTTTCAAAGGGTGATGAAAAATGTAATTTTTGGAGTAAAATTGATATTTTATACTTATCCTGACTCATGCTCTTTTGCTTGTCTTCTTCTTCTTGCGAACATAGTGGAACACTTGTATCTCCTTATTTGAAGCTCCCTTCAAAATAAAATCACTAATTGGTACTCACCACGAGTTGTCTCCCTTTATCTCCCCTGGCGGGAAAGGTGTCGCCACCTCCAGCCCATGTGCTTCACTCTCTCCTGATTTTGCGAGCCCAACACTTGGACTTACAGGGAAATCCAAAGTGTTATGTGGGGAGGATGGGAGGGCTAACCTCATGAGTCAGGATAAGTATAAAATATCAATTTTACTCCAAAAATTACATATTTTTCCTTATCCTGACTCATGCTCTTTTGCTTGTAGCATGCTACGGAAACGGAGGTGGGATTAACAGAATACTTTGGATTTATAATTAGTGATTTTGTATAGATATACTGTAATATCCCCTACGGGAACTTCATGAAGGCTTAGATTTAGGATGTTTCCTGTATAACAAAAACCATAGGTTATATAATGCCATTAAAGGGGAATTACATTGTGAATATATTGAACAGTACATATAATATATATATATATACATATAGGTGACTCTGATAGAGGCACTGAATTGAATATATCAAAGTATATGCTTAAGGTTGAATAACTTAAGCTGAACATATATACATAGCCCTAAAACTCCATAGAGTTATAAGCTAGATAAGTATGTATAACATACATATTAATCTTGTGAGGGTAATATTTAACGCCTACGAGGGACTGTCAGTTGCTGAGCGAGGACCAGTGGTCCGAAATGGTGAATGCCCGAGACATCTTCTGTAGTGATGTCTCTCAGGTAGTGATTAGCAAATACCATGTTAGATTTCCAATAGCATCCTTCCATAATCGTGTTCAAGGAACAGTTACCGTGTAGGGCGAGGGTGGAGGCCAGTGCCCTGATCTCATGTGGATTTGATGCTGTTGGTGGGTCCAAGCCTGCTGCCTTGTAGGCACGGAGAATGACAGTCCTTATCCAAATAGATATTGTGGTCCGTGACACTTCTGTTTGATTAAGTGAGGCGATAAGGGGATGAATAAGCGTTTGAGAAATCTTCTCCTTGTTTTGGATCGTCGTAAATAAACTTTAAGCGCTCTTACTGGACACAGTGATAGGTCTTGTGTATCTTGTGATCCGAGAATAGAGGATAGCGCCGGGATGTGGAATAATCTGTCTGGTTGACCTGGCAGTTGATTTTTAGCGATGAAATCCCATCTTAATCCGGGAGAGGCGCTATGTTATGATTGTCATCAAACTGTATCCTCTCGTAATCCAGAGCGTGAATTTCAGACATTCTTGCTGCGTGGCTAGAGATAGCAAAACAGTGTTTTCTGTGAGAGAAATTCAAAGTTTATTCGATTCCAATGGTTCATAAACCTCACTCGTGAGGTGTTGCAACACTATATTCAGATCCCAAGCTGGAAGTGGAACTTCCGCTTTTGGTCCTCAATCGGAAGGCTCGTAGTAAGGCCAGTAACTCTGGAGATCTTGTCAATTTACTACCTGTTCTCATGGTGATTACAGAACTAAACGCGGCAAGATATGTTGATATCGTTGAACCTTTTAAATGTTTGTTTTGCCGCAGGTAACACAAATAGTCTGCCACTTGAGGTTGTGACGCTTCTCTAGCTGTAAAACCTTTCTTTGCTGCATAATTTTCGAAACTGTGCCACTTGTCGTCGTACAAGTTACGAGTTGAGTAATAAATAAGGCAAGCGTGACTGCTTTGCGCCCTGGCAGAATATCCTCTCTTGTTTAAACATATTGTATACAGTCCATACGTGTAGTTGGAACATTGCTGGGTTTCCGTGCACTTGTTTGGTGTGAGGATGAATTAACAGGTTTGCGCGCTTGGGTAGCTCCAGTGTTGGTTGACCGATTTCTTGAATTAGTATGGGAAACCACGTTCTGGCCGGCCAGTAGGGCGCAACCAAAGTGAGTTGTAGGCTCTGTGTTTGTCTGATTTTCTGTAAAACTTGAGGTATTATTGCTGGCGGCGGAAACGCCTGCACGCGTGAGGCCTTCCATGATAGACTTAGAGCGTCCGTTGCCCAAGCTTGAGGGTCTGGGACTGGTGACACGAATGTCGGTAGCTGATTGTTGAATCGCGTGGCGAATAGGTCTATTAGCGGCGCTCCTAATTGCTTGATTATCTGTGCAAATATTTCCCTGTTGATCATCCATTCTGTCGGTGATGGTAGATGAGGCCGAGAGAGAGCGTCTGCTAGTACATTTCTGGCTCCGGGAATGTGCACTGCTCTGACATGTAGATTTAGATCTTGTATTAAATCGAACAGTTGAAAGCTGAGGTTCAAAAGGTTCATCGATCTCGTTGAGCCTTGCCTGTTTATGTAGAACGCCACTGTCGAATTGTCTGTATGAATCATTAGGTGTGCATTTTGTAGAAATGTACTCCAATGTAGAATGGCGTTGATTACAGCTTTCATTTCTAGACTGTTTATATGGAGTTTGCATTCTTGCTGATTCCATAATCCTGATATCGTGTGGTTGGTGAGATGAGCTCCCCAACCTTGGAGTGACGCGTCTACATACAGATGGGTTTTGTATTCCTGCTCTGCTAAACAAATCCCTTCGCAGACATTCGATTTCTTGGTCCACCATAGTAGATGAGGTCTGAGATGTTTCGGTAGACTGAATGGTTGTACATCGTTGAGATGTGCGTTGATGAGGACCTGTAGGGGACGTAACTGTAACCTGCCAGTGACAGTCATGTCTTGGGCTGATGTGAGAAGACCTAGTAGGCTCTGCCATTGTCGAAGTGGTAACGGAGAGAGTAGAGCTGGTGGAATGGTCTGTTGTATCTTGAGCCAACGGTCTTCTGGTACAACGATACGGTTGCGATTTGTGATGAATCGAATACCTAGGAATTGCAGGTCTTGCGATGGTACTAGGTCTGACTTGCGTAAGTTTACTAACCAACCTAGTTGTGTTAGTAGCTTTATGATGTAATTTAACTGTAGTTTGAGACGCTGTGGATCTTGATCTACTTGTATCCCGTCGTCGAGGTAAAACGCACTGCGTAGTCCTTGATGATGTAGAAAATTGATAATCGGTTTCTGATCCTCGTGAATAGCCAGGGGGCTGATGATATTCCGAATGGGAGTACTTTCCACTGGTAATGTAGCCCTTCTAGAGTAAACCGTAGGTATTTCCTGGAATCGGGATGAATGGGGATGTGCAGGTAGGCATCCTGTAGATCTATGCTGCCCATGGAGTCCATAGGACGAATCATCTGGCGTAACTGAGGTAAATGTATCATGCGAAACTTCGGTGGTTTGCGTAGATAATTCTTGTTGAAAAAGCTCATGTTGTAGATGAGTCTGTATTTCTCCATGGAGTTTTTCTTGGGAACTAGGAAAAACTGGGGAGTAGAAACCTGGTTCGGACGCTTCTGCTTGATCTATTACTTCTATGGCCTGTTTGGATAGGAGTGATGAAACAGCCTCTCTTATCTTTGGTAGTTGTTTAAGCGGCTTGTAAATCGAACTTGGGGGTTTGATTGTCAGCGGAGGCTTGGCCTGTAATGGGATACGAAATCCGTGTTGAAAAATTTTGGAAACGTATGGGTCTTGCAATATTCCCCAGTTTTCCCAGTGTAGTTGGAGGCGTCCACCCACTTGTGCTGGCTGTACTGGAACGGCTGGGGGTGGAAGACTCCAGTCGTTCCGACCTTGTGTTTCAGCGTCTATAGTTGCGGGAACCTCTGGGTGTCCTGCCTCTTCCTGATCCTCCTCTATAGTTGCCATATGGGCGACGAAAAGAATCTTTACCTCTAGAGCTGGCTATCTTCCTGTCTCTTGCTCTTTGTAGGCCCGTGAACTTAGATCTGCCTGAGTATCTTTGTGAAGTCTGACGAATGACGCTGGCTAGTGTGTCCATCGACTTAATCATAAGGACTTCCCTGGAATCCTTAGAGACTTCCTTGGCGACCTTGTCGATTTCTCCGTCGAAAATGGATGTTGTCGACCACGGGGCTGTATAATGTGGGGCTGTAAAGTTCTCTCCCCAAGTACAGGAAGCGAGGAGGCCTTGACGACGAGCTAAGGTCAGTGCTGCTGAAACAGATGTAAGATGATCCATTAAAAACTGCTGATCTTTCTTTTGCATAAGTAAGGCAGAATAAATCATTCTATCATCTTCCGTCGTGGAATCCCGGAATCTAGTAATAAGAGTCTCATTGATCGTCCTAGATCTATTTAACCCAAAGAACATACGTCTCGTCATGGTTTCTATATGAGCCAGCTTGCGATGATCAATCTTGTAAAACTTGTTCTTTACATCGCTGATGATCTTATAGTTCTCATCGATGTCCTGGGCTTTGTAGAAGGAGTCCATGTTATGTGTGGAGAACTTCTTGGCATGAAAGTTGGGCAGATGTGGTGTCTGAACTTTCGTAGCTTTCTGGAAAGCTGCATCTAGATTCTGTGGCACTGCCGCGATCGGGTCGATCGGGGGTAGAGTGATTGCATCTGGATCATCTTCCTTCATCAAATATGTCTGCGCTGTATTGCCACTTTTAGATGGTGATGTGAGATCTAGGTTATTGACCATCCAATACCGTATCTCTGCATCAGAAAATATGATTCCTCCATCATCCTCAATACCTTCATCATTAATGAATTGTTAATTGTGTAGCTGTCTGTATATCCGATGAGGCTTGTGGCGATCTAGTTGACTTGTGCGCCGCTCTATGTGGAGATCTGACGGGTGATCGACCTGGTGATGAACGAAGTGGAGATCGTCTATGGGATGATCTTCTCGGAGACTTGTGAGGTGAACGTTGATAGCTTCGCGAAGCTCTTCTATAGTCCCTCGATGTCCTTCTAGATGATGAGGATCTGGAATCATATGTCCTTCGCGAAGCTTCATTTGCGTCCGGTCCGGGGGATCGATGATATGACCTTCGCGAAGGCCTCCGTGATGTCTGATGGTCCGAGTCCATATCTAGAGATGAAATCGAAGATGGTGATGATCTATCCCGCCTTCGCGAAGGCTGTACATCTAGGTCCTTCGTCAAGGTGGTCCGGGACTTCCTTCGCGAAGGTGACGTCGTCTTAGCTGCTACGTTGACGGGGGGTGCCTCTGGGGTGCTGTCTACGTTGGAGCCTTCGCGAAGGCTCGGACCCTGCTTCTGCAGTTTGTAGTGGTCCTCCATGATGTTCATAATCTGTCGCATCATGTCATCTGGGATGATCTGTGACGAAGTCGCCGGGCGCTTTCTCTGCGATGGGGTTCACATCAATAACGCCTGGCGCCGGTGTAGAGGCATCATGCTGTATGTTGATCTCTGCAGAAGTCACAGTCGCTGACACCGCGGTTCGCTTGTTGTGCCGTGTAAGTCGGGATGATTATCGGCTGATCATCGTAGAGGCTCTAATTCTGCTGCTGGAACGATCTCGGCTGAGAAAGTTCTCGTTGTCTTCGTAGATTTTCCTTTGGAAGTCTGCGCTGCCCTGGGGGTCCTCAGTCTGCGTTGAGACGACGTTGAGGCCCTCTTAGACTTGGTCTGCGATGACGGGATGTCTGGGGAGGCCGGGCGTTTCTTCGAGGTAACGGACTGCGTCCCACGTTCCTCTGCCGCAGGGGTCTCTAGCAGAACACCAGACGGGAGAGGGTTGATAAAGCTAGCAGCTGACTGGATGGAATATCTGGACTCTCTGCCATGTTTTGCCCTTGTTTGCTCTATGGGACCTATCTGCAGCACGCCTTAAAGACGAAAAGATGATATTTATTAAATGCAGAATGAGATAAATTAATGCAGTAACTGCAACGTGAATTAAACGTACAGGGCGTAGAACAACTAGGGCATATAACATGCGGATCAGAGGCAGAGAACCGTAATCTACAAATCGTACAGATTTTCATCAACGTAAAGCTAGCTGAACAATCACGAATACACGTGAATAAACAGTAGAAATACGATAATTAATCAATACAAATTAGTAAAGGATACTAGCTATACCTCTATAGTAACCTAAGAGAGGTAAAAACTAAGAGATTATCAAAGGATATGGTGTGTAAGGAGACACGAGGCGCTCTCACATCCTGCTCACTGGGCGAAGAAGGAGAGAGTGAAGCACATGGGCTGGAGGTGGCGACACCTTTCCCGCCAGGGGAGATAAAGGGAGACAACTCGTGGTGAGTACCAATTAGTGATTTTATTTTGAAGGGAGTTTCAAATGAGGAGATACAAGTGTTCCACTATGTTCGCAAGAAGAAGAAGACAAGCAAAAGAGCATGAGTCAGGATAAGGAAAAATACGTTTACTTCATGGGAACAAACTTCATGACAATCAACCCTTGATCACCACTGTCAGCTGAGTCAGTAGATGAGCATCAACTCAGTGAACAAACTTCATGACAATCAACCCTTGATCACCACTGTCAGCTTAGTCAGTAGATGAGCATCAACTCAGTGAACAAACTTCATGACAATCAACCCTTGATCACCACTGTCAGCTGAGTCAGTAGATGAGCATCAACTCAGTGAACAAACTTCATGACAATCAACCCTTGATCACCACTGTCAGCTTAGTCAGTAGATGAGCATCAACTCATTGAACAAACTTCATGACAATCAACCCTTGATCACCACGGTCAGCTGAGTCAGTAGATGAGCATCAACTCAGTGAACAAACTTCATGACAATCAACCCTTGATCACCACTGTCAGCTGAGTCAGTAGATGAGCATCAACTCAGTGAAGTGCTCATACAATCCCACGCTCCTTGTGTTTCTACACTCAGACATATTGTCTCCCCTTATCAGCTAAATGTCACAGGTGTACGTTTGACAACTTTGTAGACAATCAAAAGTGGTCTGCCCACTGATCTGAGCAGAATAATAAGTCATGGACCCAGTGGGAGCTGGCTTCAGGGCAATCACTGGCTCAAACAGACAAATATCCTGGAAGCCAACAGCGGCTACAGCAGACATCTTAGAACTTTTCAAATTATCTTCATACTAGATTGATAAAGTTTTCATACAGGAGTGAGTGAGTGAATGAGTTTAGGTTTACGTCGAACTCAGCAATATTCCAGCTACATGGCGGCGGTCTGTAAATAATCGAGTCTGGACCAGACAATCCAGTGATCAACAGCATGAGCATCGATCTACACAATTGGGAACCGATGACATGTGTCAACCAAGTCAGCGAAACTGACCACCCGATTTTTCATACAGGAACCATACAGGGAGACAAGCATGAAGTACTGGAGACCTGTTGTGCTCTGAAGAAGAACCATACAGGGAGACAAGCATGACATATTGGAGAACTATTCTTCCTCTATTTCCTACTGCAAAAGTGCAAACATGTGAAATTCCTAAGATTATCACTATAATGTTCTCCAATCATCCAGTGTATCATATTTCCATTTTATTGAAACAGATACTCTAAACTCTTCTGCAACAATAGTTTAATCTGAAACCCAATTTCAACACAATTTGAATGATATAATGCAAGCACTAGCATCCTAATAAAATTCTACTAATGAGAAAAATAAATTCTGTTCTATGTGATGACAATACAAGAGTACAGGATGCTCCATCTGGATCAGGAATATCTCATGCGAGTGAAGTTTGACATCAAATATCAAAATTTCAATTCTGCTGAGTTTTAAACATTAATCAACCAGTGCAGATATAATTTACATGAAAAATATTTTAGAGGATTCTACTTATCATCCAAAATGATTCTGACACAAACCTAGAACTACCGCTAACCAGTTCAGCAGAGGTAAGTGATGTCATACCGATGACATCGATACATCATAATAGTCTGCTAAGCATTGCTTGAGCGTTATTTCCTGTGAAGCCAATTTTGGTTACAAAACACTGCCCACTCCGCTACACAAACATGCATTGATGTGGCGGCCATGTGCTCTGCGACAGCTGTCACTCACCTCCTGGGGGCGGAGCTACTGTCAAGGGAAGACACATCCCCTGACGTTATAATAGGGTGGTCAGGGAATCCATTGTGAACGGGTATAGGTGTTGGTGGACTGAAAAACCAACAACAAAAAAGTTCAACGAAAATCAGAATATAGCCAGACACATGTAAATGAACATGCACTAAGTGAGGGATCATGCACCAGACTGACCGATGTGTAGAACTGTGGCATTCAGTGTGATGGTGGATGCACTATCTACTGACTGTATCAGACACTGGACAAACAAAGACACACACTGAAGACTAATGGCCATGTTCCTTACATCAGAATCTAACTCAGTGTAATAACAACAGTCTCCTAACAATATCCCAACTAACACAGTGTATGAAACTATCATAGTGAATGAAGTGAAGACAGTATGTGCAACTTACACTATGCATGAAATAAAGACAGAAAATGAAACTTACACAATGTATGAAAGATCAATGGTTTTCTCGGGTGCATCAGGGAAATGTGGCATTTTCTGAGTGGACTTGACCGGTGTACACTGGAAGGACTTCCGTATAGAGTGACCGATCTGTTTGGCTTGGGATTTCTGCAATTGCAGTCCTCATTTTAGTTAATTGTATATTTTATTTAACAAACAATCATGATTTCAACAAAGAATGAGTTTCTCGTTATTGAAATATATGTTATTTTAATATTGAATAACAACATTATAATGACTTTTGTTTGTCAGTTACTTCTCAGAAGACCTTATATTCAGCATTTACAACAAACACTTTCTCCATTATTGCCAGTCTAATTAATCAACCTTCTCTTACCTGGGTTATAATGCATATTCAGCAACCCATGTATGTCATAACAGGCGACTAACAGAATCAGATGGTCAGGCTTCCTGACCCAATTACAAAACCTAAGTGCATAGATCGATGCTTGTAATGTCAATCACTGGATTGTCTGGTCCAGAAACTGATTATTTACAGATCGCTGAGACAGAGCTGGACAATTCCTGAGTACAACGTTATACAAACAAACCAAGCCAATCTAAGCCATTACTTTCTGTTCTCTAACTTTTATTCTTAGCGCTGGAATAATCAAACTGAAATGACTGAAACCAACATGTCTCAGTGATGAGTGATTGAAGAGTTAAGCTGCAGTTAGCACTTTTCCCACGGATCTCACAGTGGCCAGTAATTACAGTGTGGGCCACACGAACCAGTGATTGATGGTAACAACAACAACCTGTACATGATGACACTGGGACTATCACATCCTGGAATACTTCTAGGGTCAACATTTCTCAGAAGAATGCATTAAACACGATGACAATGATCTTTGTAAAGAGAGCATTCCTTACATATGTGGTATATTCTTTCATTTCGTGTTCAATGCGGTGGTTTGCAGAGGTGCGGCCCCTCCAGAAGCAATCCTGGCAGAGGTGGTAGTTGAAACATCGCTGGCACTTGTAGCGGAACCCTGTGAATGATTCTCGGTGGCAGCCCTCGCACTGAACAGGATGAAGCACTGCAACAGATCATTTCATCGTATGGGCAGAAGGCAATAATACTTATAATACCATCAAAATCCATCCCTCTGACAGGCTAGTCGATGTCGTGTAAGAACATCTACATGTCAACTAACTGGCATGTGAGACATTTTGACTAATATCGTTTCATATGCCATTTACACATCTTCCCCAAAACAAGGAATGAGAGAGTGACTGACTGACTGAGTTTGGTTTTACGCCGCTTTTAGCAATATTCCAGCAATATCACGGCGGGAGACACCAGAAATGGGCTTCACTCATTGACCCCATGTGGGGATTCGAACCCGGGTCTTCGGCGTGACGAGCCAACGCTTTAACCACTAGACTACCCCACCGCCCCAGTGAGAGAATGAGTGAGTATGGCTTTACGCTGCTCATAGCAATATTCCAGCCGGGGACACCAGAAATAGGCTTCACACACTGTACCCATGTGGGGTACCCTCGTCTTTCGTATGACAAGCAAAAGCTTTAACCACTAAGCTACTCCACGCCGCTGAAAACAAGGTAGTTGACTGGCTGTTGAAGTCCAGTTTCCACACAATCTGAAATCCTGTGGCTAAATCAGTAGCTATTAAGAGTAATGTCACTTCTATGTAGCCTCTATTCATACTAATCAGATTCCCACTTATCATATTACTTGCATTTGCTTTATACAAAATGGAGGCACCCAATCAAGATGATCACTTGATAATCAAGATCTGTATTTTCACAGAATGCGTCTCAACTCACAAAGAGCATCAAATTACTTTAGCATCTTCATCAAAAACACAAAACGATTTGGAAACTGTCTCTCAATGCCAGTATAACTTGTAAACACAAAATGATAAATTTTGAAACGGTATACAAGCCCATTCAGCTCACAAAATCCAATAGATACGTCACATGTAACTTATATGTCATGATGACAGACTGACACACACTCTGTAGCCAGCAACATAAGACATCAAGCCCCCTGTCTACCTATGTAATGGTTCCTACCGTTCTCCACGTGTGCCATCCTGTTGAGTACAGGGAGCCACATCAGACACTGGGGGCCGGGGTCACACATCAGGACATTCAGGAAGTCGTTGACGCTCACTCGGCCAGTCTGTAACACAAACATCACGAGATGTAACATACAGTATAATCACTTGGTAAGAATCAAGCTACCTGATCGGCTAAACAGATGTAACATACAGAATAATCATTGTTAACAACCAAGCTACCTGATCGGCTAAACAGATGTAACATACAGAATAATCATTGTTAACAACCAAGCTACCTGATTAGACAATGGCTGGCAAAACCCCATACCTGTCTGCTGACCAACATGTACAGCAATTTCACATAGTCTTTTGAACTAGGGTAGTTTGTCATACAAATGTAGCCTAAATAAAAACAAGGTCAGTATATATCTCAAACACTGGCAGGAGTAATACACATTACTACTGAACCTGTCACAACACCCATTTGGAAAGTGTTATATCACAGCCTATCCAACTCATGGACAAGAAAACCTGATAAAGTCAGGAGATGTATAATACTATAGACATTGCACGGAACCACAAGGCCTAGAATCAGAATGTGGGATTTGAACCAGTGACCAACTAAATCTGGCTTGCTAAGGGACACAGCTCTAGAAAACAAAGCATGATAAAGCACAGAATCCTTGAAACCTGACAGATACTGGGTCAAGAACATCTAGCTAGTTGAAAATGACATGCTGGAGCATGTTATCATATTGCCTGTGTAACAGCTTATCCTACATATAAGCATTTCAGACAGACTGAATAGTAGAATTCATTGTTATGTTTTTTTCAAAGATGCTCAACTCTCATCTGGTACAACTCCTTGTATTAGAGGTGTGAAATTGGGTACATCGTGCTTGAGAATATTTCATTCATATGAAATGACTGAAGACTGGAATTCCAAACAACCAACAATCAAACAATTTACAATAATCAAACACAAAAGATTTTCTCTTTGTCTCTCGATCTGAGATATTTTTGTTTCTTGTTACAACTTACCGCTTATTACTTGGAGAATAAAGCAAGAGAAGGTGAAGCCTGTGTATTTATTACAAAATAAGAGCTGAAGAAAGTATTTATGTTTGTTTTTCATTCATAGGATTTGTTTCCACTGAACTTAACACTGGAAAACAGAAAACTGAGTCGAACCTATTAATTCTGATGATTGAATCATCAATCCTTGACTCTACACCCACAGCATAATCAATCCCATGATGCTGCTAAATCTGACAGTTTGTTGGCCAGTATGGATCAACGAAGCCGTTCACCACCATACATGCTGAACGCAGATGATAACAAAGTTGTACAGAGATCACCTTGAGGTCAATATGACGATTCCATCCTATGTAGTTTTTATTCCATGGTTATAGCAGGGTATCACATATCAGTTACAGGTCATGGATGTAGATTAGCACCAGTCCACTAGACCCCAATTCAGTCTGCCTAAATGGTTTCCCCGATGGGTTTATAGGGGTCTCCATATATGTTGCTGCTAGTCAACCCAGGAAATGATTCAGAGTTCCCTTGTACATAAGCAATGAAACAGAGAACTGTTCAAAGAAATATTTTGTACTTTGTACACACTTTTGCTGAAAATTTGTTAATGAACTATTTTGAAGAGAAAACTAAACCATTTTATCATTTTCATTTATAAAGTTATTCACATTTTCAACATAAAAATCACAATCACAAGTAAATCTGAACAAGGGTCAACGCTCATGTCGAGAAACGAATACTGTAATCAATATTACAAGCAATGATCCACGCTGCTGGGGCACAATGACAAGTAATCAAGCAGGTCATGGAGCCTGACCACCTGATCCAGTTAGTCCCCCGCACTGGAGTTGTTGATCTCTTGCTTCCTGGCGGAACAAGCACCTGAACCAAAATGTCACTCACAAAGAACAAAGACACCGAGATCCATAAGTCAGCTCTGTTTTCCCCGATAGCACAAACGCCACTCAATAATATTGATGACTAAACAAGAAGCTTTAACAGTCAAGTCCTAGCATACAATGGTCAGTGTCAAATGTTCATCACCTTGCCCAGCCTGCCAGTGATTGCCATGTTTGTTACCACATGTTACATATACAGTCATCCACACACAGATGACAACATATTATGACATCAAAGACTGTTCCACTACAGCAAGAGACATATACAACCACGTATTTCTTACTAATAACTGAAGTTTGTCCAGTTCTACACAGCTCTGTCTTATGAGTTTCAATTCTAATCAATACACAAGTCCTTTGCATGTGATCAAATGGTCAATGTTATATAATTATACTCACACGGATATGAAACGCAAGTTTTATATCCAAATAGGAAACAAACTCAGACCCTAAATTGATATGGGTTTTTGGCATATAGTGAAGTCTGATGGTGTTTCAATCAATTTTGTTGCAGTTTTGGAAGGCCCAAACAAAAACACATCAATAGAAGGAATCACCAAAACACACCCATAAACACCAGCAAAATCTGCTCTTGTCAACCCCTTTACCTTTCGAAAACTTAATGATGTCATCAGTCTTAGTAGCCAATGAAATGTCTTCACTAAATGTTTTTGTCTATCTGACCCTGTTTGCATTTCTTGTGTTTAATATTGAAAATTACATACATATCTGCTTTATACTTGACTTGCATTACTTTTGCGTGTGAGTATATATTTGGGATCACACATTTTCAGTAAAGTGCAGATTATGGTACTTTTGAGGTTGAGACCAATATGGGATTCAAACCCACACTCTCAGACTTAGGCACCTGAGAAAATTTAATGTTATATTCCTAAATATACAAATGTGCTATAATAGTCCAATATGACCACATACAATGTCCTACAGATCATGGAATCAGAAGCCATGTCATTTCAACTGGGTCTTGAATGACCTGAGTTTCAGCGAACACTGTGACACACAACATGGTGGTCATGACTTGACATAAAGCTGTCCCTTATTCCAAACCCAGGACTCCCATGTCCCTGAATACAATAATCGACTGGAGAAATCAGTAAATTGAGCTGATACAAAATCTATAATTCAGTTTGAGTTTTTAAAACCAGAAGATCCCAAGTCAATACTGAAGATTGTGAACAAGCACAATATTGAAACATGCACTCAAAAAGCATGATACATGGCAGTGAAATTCATTAAAAATATATTGCCAATATATTCTGTAGTTACGTTGCCATGGTAACATGATGGCACTGCATTATTCTTGTTGCTAGGTCACACACATGATGTTGTTGTCCTCTGGCCATTGATCAGTTCATCAGTATTCATAACATTTAAGATAAAAGATATTTCTGAAATGACATACAACTGATTCAAACGGCAGTGGATAAATCAACTAAAGCTCCAATCACCTTTCATATGGAAACCTGTACTTGTGATTGCTCCACGGAAAACTAAATTACATTGACACAATATCAATGCTTCCTGGCATTCCACGTCTGCACATGTAGGTTTAGAATTTCAACCCAAATATCCCTTCTTCATAACAGTACCTGTGCTTGTTTCCATAAACTCACCTCCGTCAAGTTTCTGTCATCATATCCACAAGGATGAGACCCAAAAGCCAAACATTCTGCATGTCAACAACCATTCCTCTTGCATCCATTCCAAATCAAATCCCATGACCTCTTTCTCAGTATCAAATTCCTCAGCGAGAAACAATTATTCTCGTGGTTTCATTGGGTGTGCTGGGCAGGAGTTCTAACGCACCACCTGCGGCGTGGTCAACATACCAGCCTATGCTGACCACTGCCTTGACCTCCTCATCAATAACTCGTTTCATTACGTGTCCCTATCGCGGTCACATGAAGCTGCAGCGCATTCAATGACACCCTGATCCATTCTCGTGCCACTTCCGTCCTCATTTATTTCCTCACTGATCACATTTGCATAATCAGACAGTTGGGTCTCTAGCTGAGTAACAAACTTGAGTAGATAGATTTTGAAAGTTTGTTATCTTCATTATTACATCAATTATAAAACATTATGACACTTGTGCAAATCTCACCTCTATTCTGCATTATACCCCACTCTACCCACTCCATTCTGTGACATACCCCATTCTACCCACTCATAATTTCTGACAAACCCCACTCTACCCACTCATAATTTCTGATATACCCTAGTCTAACATCTGCATTCCATCATATACCCCACTCTACCAAGCTGCATTCTGTGACATACCCCACTCTACCCACCTGCATTCTATCATATACCCACTCTACCCACCTGCATTCTATCATATACCCCACTCTACAAACCTGCATTCTATCATATACCCCACTCTACCTGCATTCCGTGACATTCTCTATACCACCCATTTTATCATATACCCACTCTACCCACCTGCATTCTATCATATACCCCATGCTTCCCACCAGCATTCTATCATATACCCCACTCTACCCACCTGCATTCTATCATATACCCCACTCTACAAATCTGCATTCTATCATATACCCAACTCTACCACCTGCATTCTATCATATACCTGCTCTACCCACCTGCATTCTATCATATACCTCTCTATCCACCTGCATTCTATCATATACCACACTCTACCCTCCTGCATTCTATCATATACCCCCTCTACCCACCTGCATTCTATCATATACCCCACTCTACCCACCTGCATTCTATCATCATATACCCCACTCTACCCACCTGCATTCTATCATATACCCCCTCTACCCACCTGCATTCTATTATACACCACTCTACCCACCTGCATTCTATTATATACCCACTCTACCCACCTGCATTCTATTATACACCCCACTCTACCCACCTGCATTCTATCATACACCACTCTACCCACCTGCATTCTATTATACACCACACTCTACCCACCTGCATTCTATTATACACCACACTCTACCCACCTGCATTCTATTATACCCATCTACATTCTATTATACACCACACTCTACCCACCTGCATTCTATCATATAATATACCCCACTCTACCCACCTCAATCATGTGAAATACCCACTCTACCCACCCCAATTGTGTGAAATACCCCTCTCTACCCACCTCAGTCATGTGAAATACCCCACTCTACCCACCT